GCCTATATATTGAAATGCTGAGTAGTAGTAAGCCTTCTATCTACAAAGCACATGATCGTTTTCAGAATGCTTTAATATCCCCTAGCTTCATAACGACCCTAATAGCTACCTAGAGCCTTCATTCCTGTGTTTCTAACGGGAAAAAGTTGTTTCAGAGGACAAGGTTCTTGATATTTCCAAACCTCATTCAGTATCTGGATATAGGGATGCAAGGGAACAAAATCGTCTAACTAACAGGAAGAGAGTGTCAAATTAAATCACATGGGTGGAAAAAAATCAAGTGTGCCTGCAGCTTCCACTTTTGAAGCATTGCTTCCTGTGTTTAGTCACACAGGCTAAACTACCATTGCTATAATCCCTCAAATGAAAAATAGGTTATTTGGGAAAAAAAAAGAAAAATAGGTTATTTGGAACTTATTAGCTCCTTAATAACATAGGCGAATGTTTCTCAAACTTTTGGCCTTTATATATTTTTAAAATATCTTAAAAATTGTCAAGGATTCCAGAGAGCTTTTGTTTTTGTGAGTTATGTCTGTCTGTTTTTACTACATTAGAAGACAAAACTGAAACTTTAAAAATATTTTTATTAATTTATTCAACAATAATATACTAATTACATGGTATTAAACCTCATGTCACTTCTTTATTACCATGTAATCATTTTCCAGAACAAAACAAAATTTCTTATTCTAGCTGTAGAGATATCATACCTGCAGCTCCAAGACACTCTACAGCAAACCCATGAAAAAATCAGAGTAAAAAAGTCAAATGATATATTTGTCTTGTCATGATAACGATTTTGACCTTGCAGGATTTCTGAAAGGATTTCAGGGACTTCTGGGCTATACTTTGAGAACCACCGGTATAAATAGGAAAGCCAGAATTTTAAGAACATGTGTTTTTAAAATATAATAATTCCTGAGATATATACTTTTAAGGGCATAATAACTTCTGAGATGAATATTTTTTTTCCAACAGAACCAGCTAGGCATTTTACTTTTTTTCTTTCCCTGCAGACTTTGACTTTGGAGATCGTCCAGAGTCAGGAAATACTAAATCTGAGACAAAGGATTCCAGCCTGTCTGGTGTCGGTAAGAAAGGTGGTTATTACAATAGAGACCACCGTTTTAGGGACATACACCAAACAATCTGAAGAGTCCAGTACTGGAAAGTAGTTCGAACTTTCTGATTAATGTAAAGTCAGCTCTGCATGCTTTCCTTTTGAACTGTCAAGTCCAAGAAATAAAATCCAAATGGATGTTGATAGACGGGGAGACCAGAGACTACTCCATGCTCTTGGGCTTTGGGGTGCCTCAAAGAGAGTGGTAAACATCCCTATTAGGACCACTCAGAAGCAAGAAGGTCCCCTTTGTCTTTGAATATGAAAAGCCTGAAGTTATTTCAGCTTCTCTGAGCAGATCTATCCCTGATGCTGTGGCAGGTAGGAAAAAAATCTGAGCCCTCCATATTACTCATCCAGTGAGGAAGGTATTAATGTTTTGTCACTGTCATCAGTTGGGAAATACTCACATGTGGTATTGCTTAATAAAGCAATTTACAACATAATGCCATATTTTAATATATGCAATTAACTAAGCAAATGACAGGAGAGTCACAATCTTTCATCACTCTTCTTTGTGAAATAATGTGCCTTCTCTTCCTTCCCTTCTTTATTCCTCTCTTTGCTCCTTTCTCTAATATTTATAATGTACTTGCTAAGAATGAGGTACTGAGGTCAATTCCACTTCCTATTTATCTGGTGGACAGATCTGTTTATTATAATTATTAAATATTTCTGCTTCTTAAACAAAAGGAAAGATTGTCCTTAATGGAAAAATTAAAATTATAGTAAAGCATAAAGAAAAATAATTGATTGCCCTAGATAAGTAATAAGTAGCAGCTCATTTAAACAAATTCTTCTAGGACATTTCCTGTATTTTTATTTGCTTGGGATTATATGTATGCACAATTTTGCATTTTTTCTTTATAGAGACAGAGTCTCACCCTTTCCCCAGGTGAAGTAAGAGTGCCCTAGCATCATAGCTCATAGTCACCTCAAACTCAAAGTGATCCTCTTGCCTCAGCCTCTTGAGTAGCTGGGACTACTGGCACCCGCCACAATGTCCTACTAGTTTTTCCTATTTTTAGTAGAGATGAGTCTTGCTATTGCTCAGGCTGGTCTTAAACTCCTGAGTTCAAGCAATCTACCCACATTGGCCTCCCAGAGTGCTAGGATTAAGGCATGAGCCACTGTCCTTGCCCCACAATTTTGCATTCTTGATTGCTTAACATCGTATCATAAGCAGCTTCAATGTCATTAGAAACCCATCATAAACATAATTTCAATACACAAAAATCTCAAAGGAGGATTTTAATTCCACACATCAGATTTCCTTCAAACTGCTTCTTAGACGCAGAATTACTAGGGATGGTCAGGAATACTTCTAACAACTTTGTCAACACACTGATAAATTTCTTTCCTGATAGTGTACCAAAATTACATCACCAGATAAGAGGGCTCATTTCATTGAACCTTCACCAGTAACGAAGAAATCTTTATAAGTAATCTTTGCTAATATGACTCGTAAAAGTGAAAAATTCTACTGTTTAAAAAAATCTGCATTTTTAATTATTATTCAGATTGAAACTTTAAAATGCAAGCAAAACTGTAAAACTTAAAAATTCTTTAAGGTAAAAGTTGTATAAATACACAGGTGCCTGTTCTTCATTAACTCTATTCATCAAAGGGAGACAGAGCTCCAGGCACCCCACAAGAGGCAATCACTGAAAATCTTAGTGGCAAATGTTGAAATCATTTCTGGCTAATTTAATCAGAAGAGAAATATATTAGGTCATCAGATGGCATGCCAAAGAGACAGGAGGACTAGAGAATCAGGCTCCTCATACAGGCAGGGAAGCTTGGCAAGCAGCCGGAATAAGAATAGGTCACTCTACTCAAACAGCCCACTTAGGTCACCGCTGGCATTGTCACTTGTCACCTCTGGTACTACTGTCCCTGGACACAAAAAGCACTTCACAGATAATGGAGTTATTTCTAAAAGATCTCGTCTTTGAATCCAGATTCAAAGGACTGGATAGGAACCAGTGAAGCTGAACTTAGTCCCATACTGGTACCACAGAGGGTGGGAACAGTGCGTATTAGGCCATTTTTGTCTTCTATGGGAATTTGGATGCTAGGCCATGACCAATGACCACTATAAACATGTATGTGGAATCGTTGTGTCATAATACTTTTTAAGAATCTGATTACCCTTCTTATCACTGAATTTTAGATTGGGGGTCATAACATTACCTGTTCCAGAACTGCAAACTCAAATGTTACTGTATCCTCAAATGTTGGTGAGGGGAGGGGGATTGGGGAGTGCTGAGGATGTGCAAAACTGAGGAGCATCTCCCCAGTTAAGTCTGGTACGCAGCTCCAGCTGTTGGTTGCTAGAACTAACTGATCTTACAATTTTTCAGAACATGCCTGAAATGTCTGAATTTTTTTGAATTTTCCTGATTTTAAGATTTGGAGTCAAACTCAAAATTAGAAGAAAGAGCAACACTGCTGCTTCTTTAAAATCAAGGCTGTAAATTACTTCTAACAATCAATTAACTCCTTTATTTATTTAGAGACCAAGTGTAAGGTTATTGCCCTCGGTGGAGTTCTCTGGAGTCAGAGCTCACAGCAACCTCAAACTCTCAAGTGATCCTCTGGCTTCAGCCTCCTGAGCTTCCAGGACTACAGGCGCCCACCACTATGACCGGCTATTTCTTTATAGACAGGTCTCCGGCTGGTCTCCAACTCCTGAATTTAGGCAATCCATCTGCTTAAGCCTCCCAGAAGGTTGGGATTACAGGCTGGAGCCGCCTCGCCCTAACTCATTTTAAAATACCACTGTAGAGAGATAAGTTCTAAGGAAATGCCTAAGTTGGCAGCAGAGCCAGGACTGGATGTGTGGTCTCCAAATAAAAAGCGAATTAAAAGGAAAAAAAGGTAATGTTCCACCATCCCAATCCGCAGCCACTTTTCTCACTTGGAGGTTTCCTCCCAAACAGGCTGAAGAAAAGCACGAGTATTTCATCCAGCAACAACAGCGTTCGTAAAACGTTTATAAATTAATAGAATCTGTCCAGCCAATAGAAACAGCTTTTGGTGTCAGATCAGAGTTTAAATCTTACCTTCTACCATTTTCCTCTCCTCTTTCCCTTCTACCCACAGGTGGGTAACCTGTGATAAGTTACTTAACTGTGTCTCACTCATGGAGAAAGAAATAGAACTACCTTTTACATACAGGGCTGTAGCAGATGGAATGAGACTATCTGTGCCTGGCACAGTGTCAGCACTCTAGTAAAAACACTGCATGTGGTAATGATATAAATAATACGTAGGAGATCATAGTAGTTTGTATTTCCCAAGCACAGAGGTGAAGGGAGGGAGAACTAAGGTGAAGAGGGGGCAGCTGAATTGTTTCATGGTGGGTGTATCCAAGTTTGGATAAATCTCAAAATGGACTTCCTAACGTGAGGTGTAAGTAGGATTTTCACCCAAACCGTATCCTTCCCCCACTGCAGTGCCAGTTTCACGGTCAAATCCAGCTGCGTCAAGGCTGGCGTACTCTGCAGCCTTCAAAAGCACCACTTCTGTCTCAGAAGTGAAATTGAAGGTGGAGTAAAGGGGGAGTCCAGGTGGTCCCGGGGTGGGGGGAGGGTGTGGGTACCTTCCGGCTTTCAGAAGGGAAAGTCACGCCGGAGCAGTTCACTCTCGCTCTGGGCCATCCGCAGGGACCTGCTTCCACCTGCGAGCTGCAGCCGCAGAATGCGGGAAGCCGCAGCCGCCGCGGGGGAGGGGGCGGAGGCAGAGGCGGAGGCGGCACCCAGGGCCGAGGCCGGGGAGGCCCGGACCATCGCAGTGACAATTTCTCTTTCTGCCGCGGCGGCAGCCGGGACGGCCGCTGCAGGCTGGGAGTCCGCCGGCCTGCGCGTGGGTTTGCCGGGGCGCTGTTCCCCTGCACCGGGGTGTCCGACAGCGACGAGAAGGAAGACGACAGCGAGCGCAGAGCCCCGGACGCGAGCGCGCGGAGCCGGCAGAGCTCCCCGGGGAGGGGGAGGAGGCACGGCCGCGGCTGCCGGAGTCGCCCCGCCGCCGTGCCTGTCAGCCAAAGCCACTGGGGCCCGGCTGCAGCGGCAGGACGGATGCCAAGGCCACACGGCCGGCGCGGGGGCAGCCGCCGCAGTCGCCGTCCCACGCGGGCTCCGGACATCCAGGGCTGCTGGTGAGTAGCCGCGCGCGTGCGGGCGAGCGAGAGCGCGCCCGGGCCGGGAGGTGCGCACGCCGGGAGCGTGTGCCCCGCGGCCTGCGCGTGTGCCCGGCGGCCGGCGCGCCCCGGCCCGTCTTCCGCCGGCGCCGTCCGGTCCCGGGCTTGCTCTGGGGAAGAACACGCGCTTTGGCGGCTGCTCGCTTCCTTCCTGCCAGCCTGCCAGCCTCCGCCTCCGCCGGCGCTGCCCGTGCGCCCCTCAGCCAGCCCCGGGGGTTCGTTTCACCTTGATGGGGAAGGCAGGAAGCTGTGGCTCCTGGTGGCGGGGCGGGACCTGTGTGTGGGAGCGTCTGTTGGGGGTTCAGACCTGGGATGCAGCCTTGGAGAGGATGGCGACATTTGGGGAACTCACTGCACTGTCTTTGGCGGTGTGTGGTGTGGAGGAGGAGAGACAGGGTTAAAAAACAGACCTTTGCCCCCGACGAGCATGTGGCCCTCCTTTGGAGGAGATGCTCCTTTTGCCCTTTATCAGAGACTTAAGACTCTTATTTTCCTTCACCGGAATGAATATTTTAAGCCTGCCCTGAAAGCCTCCAGTGAGATGCACAAAGAAACAGAATGTCACTATTAAAACACAATTTTCCAGAACTTTCTTCACAACACCCCCACGCTACTTATGACCCAGAGCCTATGCTTTTGTACTTATTGAAGTTTAAAAGAAAAATTTTATGAGGAGTAAATGATTCAGGAAACGGAACCTGATCTAGAAGATTGATTTAGGTAGGTGGCGTGGCTTGCTTTCTGGAAATCAGTGTTCAGTAGTAGTAAGTAAAGCGGACATCTTCCAAAGTCAGTCCAGTGAGCACACAGCATTGCAAACATCCTGCTAATGGCTGGGAATAACATGAAATCCTAGGTGTTAAGGGCGTTTCCAAAAATGTAATGGAGATCACTAGGATGCTGACCTGTGGTCTCCTGATTCCATCCAGGCCCTGTCAAGGTCAATAATACAGATTTCTTTCAGCAAATTAAATACACCTGAATGTTTGAATGTCTGTTTCTATTTTTTGAGGGCAGATCTTGAGCGTTGTTTTACACAGAGATTACGCCGCTCTGTGTGTGTGTGTGTGTGTGTGTGTGTGTTTTAATCTTCAAGACATGTTTCAATGGGCAATTTCGTTTTCAGGATGGGTGCTATATTGAATTTAACAAACGCATTCTGCCTGGATTATAGTGGGCATTTTGTAGCTACAATGCAAATAGTATCTATGTTTATTTTTAGCAAAAGTGAATGTCTTTGAGCAGTACGCTTTTTTGTTTGCCATTTTCACCACTTGAGCTTCATTGAAAGGCATGAAATGTTACTGGAATCTACCTGGAAAATAAATTGGCTGCTGTGCTCTGTTCTAGTGTATGTACAGCACAATTGTTAGCCAGTTGGCAGTGTGCTTTTGAATACACTAGGGCTGTAATTTATGTATCAGGTGGTTCTTGGAAATTTTAAGAAGAAACTTGTTTTTTTAATCCTGTTTTATAAAGTAAGCACCATTTAAATTATAGGGCAAATAGCTTTTACCCATATCTCAGGCATCCAGGCCAATTTCTTCTTTACTTTTGCCGTGTTTCATAGGATTCTTATTGCCCATGGAAGGGTTGGAGGGCGTGGGAAGGGACCAGTGTCTTGAGGGTATCCTTGGCAGAGAGATTTGCTCCTGGAGGATAGGGTATCTCTGAATTGGTTCCTGAGAAGAACTGATTAACAAAAATAGTTATAAAGGATTGTTAATAATAGTTCTGTCTTCTTACATGTGGCACATAGGGCTTAATTAGCTCAGCTCGATCATTTTACTTCTGTAAGGGCCCTTCGGAGGCCTACCTATAGCTGCAGTCCAGGGAGAGAGACTGAATTTTACAGAGAAGAAAAGTCTTGCTCAAAAACATGAGGGGTAGGAGGGATGTGAGAGGAAATAATGCAGATGCTTCCCAGGAAATGCCAGGCACTTTCTAAGGGGATACGTTTACCAATTAGAGACATCTGTGCTTCTGTCTAACACTGACGTCTTTTTTTCTTGACCCATGATAGATTTGTAAGTAGCTTCAACTGAAACTTCGAGAAATGACTTATGGTCATCCCTGAAGATGTTAGCGCTAGCTTTCCATTTCATCCCTTAGGGCTGATGGATTGTAGCTGTTCAATAAATGTTTGTTAAATAAGTAACAAATCTAGAATATTTTCCCAACCCTAACTACATCACCTTTTCTAGCTTTTTTTTTTAGTCGTAACTTTATACGAATCACAGAACACTTCATCAAATTGAATCCCAGTTCCTATATTCAACTAAGAAGACCAACTTGCTCAGTTAAAGGTACAATAACAGTCCCTCAAAACAAAACAATAACAAACAAAAAGCATTGTATTGGTACCTGTTCACTTGCTTATTCCAGCTATCTGAACATGTGAACAGTCCAGTTGGATGTGAGTGTACATTCAGAAATCCTGAGTTGACATCAGAATGTTCAACTCAGGAATAATCTGGATGTAGCTACATCTGGATGTGGCTTTTGTCGGAAGTTATTTGCATTTCTAAGCAAATCAGATGAACTTCTAGCACAATCTTGCCTCTCTTCATGCCAGGTGGAGAGGCTGATTAAACATTTGGCATGTTGCTAAGTCTTCCAAGCCCATATTGCTTGATTCTCTCTCTAAATTTTAAATTAAATCCTGGTTATTTTTTTCCATTGATGTGATTGGTTAGTTTAGAGACATTAGTTCAGACTGGTGGTTACTTAGTAACTTGTGTTTAAAGCAGCCCACGGATGTAAGCACCAGTCATTCTTATGTTTTGATTTGCTCCAGTTAACCTGTCAAGAAACTCTTGGAAATGGGTACATTGTTTGGTCTTGATATTAAGAATGATACAACTTTTTTTGTTTTCATTCCAACTTTCTATCTCTAATCATTAGAGGGTCTCCCGTGATACAGGTTCCAATTTCTGGATGAAAGACTAGAAAGCTATCTGATATTTACCTGGATATTAATACTGTGGTGTATGACAGTAAAGCAGCTTTTGTCTTTGATATTCTTTCCTTTGTGTCATTCTCAGATCAACCGTATTTCATTAGGAATAAAAATGAGATCGTCGAATAGCTCATTTTTTAATTGGGCTATGTGCAAAATTAAATTCATAACATAAAAAAAAGCATATCACCCTTCTGAAGTAACACAAACATTGCTATTCTCTGGATAATGAAAAATAGTTCATAGCAACTATTTTTTTGATAAGTAGGCGCTTGAGTATTTGATTGAGGGGTAAAGACATGTTCCCTCCATATTTTCTTAGGCTCTTGTAAGCCAAGAGGTGGAATTTTAACTTGATGTGGTAGTCAATTGTAGGACCCTTGAAAGGGAGCAAGGCTTCTTCTCTGAAGAGTACTTTGATAGTTGGGTGGGGAGTGGATTAGTATGGAGGGAGTGGAGGCAATAATCTGGGGTTAGATGATGACAGCCTGACGTCAGATCCCAGGGACTCTGAGATACAGAAGGGAAACTTCAGACAGTCAGACATCGGGATTCTTTGTTTTACGTGCAAGGGGGATTGCAAACCTATGGCACAGATATGGTCACTAACCTCTCCCACCCACATAGGCATTACCAGTTGATCATAGCATTCTTTCCTGCTGAGTCCTGGAGTAACCTCAGAATCTTGCAAACATCAGAGACATTGCTTTAACACACTTTTTCTTAAGGATGAGGGAGTGGTTAGGAACAGGAGTTTTTTTTTTTCCCAGTTACTACCATGTTTCCCAGAAAATAAGACCTACCCCAAAAATAAGACCTAGCAGGATTTCTATGCATTTGTTAAATATAAGCCCTACTCCCATAATAAGACCTAGTGATGGGTGTGGCTATGCAGATACACCATGCATTTTGGAGCGGAGTGGTAAGGAAGAGTGGAATACCTTTTATCTGCCACAGCTCCTTTCTCTGAGACATTCACACTTACACGGGTACGTGTGTGGTAACTGTGGTCACAGGCATCCTATTGTGCATGTGTGAATGGCTAGGGGAAAGGAGTTCACGCATCACTAGCACCAGCCCCACCAACAAGGTTGGCCCCCCTGTCAGGTTCCAGAAGAAGATGACTTAACTATATTTGAATAAATGTAGATTGTTGTGTTGCGTTATACTTAATAAAAATAAGACATTCCCTGAAAATAAGCCCTAGTGTGTCTTCTTGAGAAAAAATAAATATAAGATAGTGTCTTATTTTCGGGGAAACATGATAGTTGTGTGTCATTGGGCAAGTCACTGACTTCTCTGAGCCTCAGTTTCCTCATCTTTTATTTGGGATATTGGTTTCCATCTCATAAAGTTTGGGGAAAGATTAAATGAATAAATACACATGAAAAGTGCTTAGAACAATGTTTGGCACAAAGTTAAGTGTATTGTGTGTTTATCATTCTTGTTATTTTTAGAACAACCTTATACAACAGGTATCATTTTGCAGATTTAAAAACTGAGGTACAAAGAAGCTATGTAAATTGCCCATTATTGGAGGCTGGCAAGTGAGGGAGTTGTCAGTCAAACCTGGACCCTGTCCTCTATATATGTACTGCTGGGGAGCTGATTGGAGCCTGGGGCTGGGGATATTGATTGGAGCAAGAAAGGTAGGGGCTTGTCTTCATGGAGTCTCAGGGCTTAGAATTTGTACCCACATTATTACCAAAAGGTTTTTCTCTTTTCCCTTTATGTTTGGTATTTTGTAAATAATGTTTTTCATTAAGTCCTTTATTAAGGAATATTCCAATTTGTGTTTTTACATATGCTTTAGAAATGGTGGGACTTATTTTTTGTTTTTACTTTTTTCACGTAACAGTTGGCATACATACATCTCTCCTTGTATTGAATGATTCTTTGCTAGAGACAGGCAGGGTACACCTCCCTAATATATGTAGCAGATTTTGGAGTGAGTTTTAGTACTCTGGAAAACTTCTAGTCCATCCATCCCTTTCTACAC